TTTCTCCTTCACAGATGCTGCCAGACCTGCTGAGCTTTTCCAGCAACTTTGTTTTTGTTATAACGTGTTTCTCCTCCAGTTTACATGCATATTGGATTGATGGTTATTTGGAGGTTTATGAGCTCCCTCTTGTGTCTCAATTTTTATCCTGCACATTCTTGCTGAAGTCTTGATGTCTTGTGCTTGGTGCCTTTATGGATCAACCTTCTCCATTTTGGTCCGTCTCCAGACACGGACTCTCACTTGCTGATGGAGACATTTAACTTCTTCAGCAGTGTTTTGAGGACATCTTTAAAGTGTTTCCACTGTCCCCTTGGGTGTCTGCTGCCACAGCTAAGTTCAGAGTTGAGCAGTTGCTTTGTGAGTTTGGTGTTCTGTATACGAGTGACACATTCTACACAGTGGAGCTGGTTTTGAATGATTTGTCCCTCGGTGTTGACAAAGTTGGCCTGGGAGAGAGGGCTGCTGTTGGCAACCTTTTTTTTGACTTTGAAGGGTCTTGTGAAGTTGTTGGTGCATCACCAAATGCTTTGTGCCTGCTAGATGTTGTCCAAGTCGCTAAATCTGTAAGAGCATGGGATCACTGCTGTGCTGTAAGCCATGACTTTGGTCTCAGATAAAGGCAAAATATTGTCTGCAGAGAGAGAAACAGAGTTAGTGTTTCAAGTTCAGTATGACTCTGTCCTTCAGAACTGAGAGGTGTTGGAACAAATTGAAAGATTAAAACGGAAATCGCATTGGAGAGAAGAGCAGAACGTCTTCAAGGAGGGCATAGCTGGTAGAGCAGTTGCCTATGCTACCATACCCTTGGGTTTGAGACCCTAGAGGCATGATGTAGAGGCATGATGCACTTTTCCATCTAGGTTTGACTTCACTCCGAGTGGGCTCACAAAAGTCTGGAAAATGGTCCCCATTTTCTAGAATCTCTTTGTTGATCCTAATTGAGAGGGGGAGGTGTTGTACTGTGGCAGCGGATAGGTAGAGGGCCTTAGAGAAAGGACGATGTTCCCATCTGTTTTGGAGGAGTTAGCAATGGCCTGGAACTCAGTTTGAGGGAGCACATAAGCTCCATCTGTGTAATGAAGGTCAGTGACTGTCTGGGGTTGGGGTTACTTTTGGTTTTGAATTGAAGGGGACAAAGTCAGTTTTATATTTTCAGTCCATGTCAGTAGGTAGTTCTCTGGAGGCGAGGTAGAGTATTGAAGCAAACATAATGAAGAGGAGATTTGGTGAAATCGCACAGCCCTGTTTGACCTCAGTCTTCTCTGAGATAGGGTCATAAATGTGATTGCATTGTAAAAGTGGGTGTGTGTAACACTGTGGACTGTAGTCCTTCCAGCATTTCTGGTAGGTCCATGAATCCAGTAATCATCCTGCAACAGCCTAAGGATACGAGATATGCCATTTAGGACTGAGTTGGGGAGACATTTCTTCACCCAGAGATTGGTGAACCTGTGGAATTCTCTGTCACAGAAAGTGCTTGAGACCAGAGTATTTACTATTTCAATAAGAGTTAGATATAGTTCTGAGGGCTAAAGGGAAAAAGCGTGAACAGGGGACTGAGTTGGATAATTAACCATGATCATATTGAATGGTGGAGCAGTCTCAAAGGGCTGAATGGCCTCCTCCTGTTCCTAATGGGGAAGGCAATGGCCAAGTGGTATTATTGCTCAACAATTAATCCAGAAACTCAGGTAATATTCTGGGGACCTGGCTTTGAATCCCACCATGGCAGATGGTGGAATTTGAATTCAATAATAATTCTGGAATTAAGAAACTACTGATGACCATGAACCCATTGCCGATTGTTGGAAAAACCCATCTGGTTCACTAATGTCCTTTAGGGAAGGAAACTGCCATCCTTACCTGGTCGGGCCTACATGTGACTCCAGCCCCACAGCAAAGTGGTTGACTCCCATCTGCCCTCTGAAATGGCTGAGCAAGCCTCTCAATTCAAAGGCAACTAGGGATGGGCAATAAATGCTGGCTAGTCAGTGACGCTCATATCCCATGAGTAAATTTTTTAAAAATTTCACCTTTAATAGATCAGCCAGCTAATTTTAGTATTTCTACTTTCTACCCAAACATTTCATTTTCCTTCCACATTTAAAGTTATTTGCACTTTACTATTTATTTAAATTTATTTCTTTATTTTTAATTTCCTTTTTTTTAGAAAATTGTGTTTTCTCCTTGAGGAAACTCTATTTCTTCACGCTCTTGACCATATTATTTCCTATTCATTAGTTTTCAAATGTTCAGAGTCTGATCGGACACAGCAGAAATTCGGAGTGTAAGATTTCAAAAGGCTAGAGAGAACTGGGGTTCAGCTAATATCTCTCTTCACCCCAGTTCTCTCTAACCTTTTGAAATCTTACACTCCGAATTTCTGCTGTGTCCGATCAGACTCTGAACATTTGAAAACTAATGAATAGGTCTTTGAGAGGTGTAAAGAATGTGGGATAAACTTGTCTATGGGCAAAAGAAGCCCAAGAAAAGATCAAAGGGACAAATACAGAGATAGTAAGAACTGCCGATGCTGGAGTCAGGGACAACACAGTGTGGAGCTGGAGGAACACAGCAGGTCAGGCAGCATCAGAGAAGCAGGAAAGCTGATGTTTCAGGTCGGGACCCTTCTTCAGAAATGGCTAAATTTCAGAACCGCAAATCACAGAGGACTGAGAAATGCAAAGATGGAATTGAAAGAATGAGAGACTTGGAAAATTGAGCATTGAGCATCCCCCAGAGTTAGAAAACACAAGACCCTGAACTACCTGTTGCCTGCCACTTTAACACACCATCCTGCTCCCTGGCCAACATTTCTGTCTCTGGCTTGCTGCGGTGTTCCAGTGAACCTCAACGCAAGCTAGAGCAACAACACCTCATTTTCTGCTTGGGGACCCTACAGCCCTCCGGACTCAATGTCGAGTTTAAAAATTTTAGGGCCTAAACTCTCCCATGTCCCAGCCCCCTACCCCACACACCAGGCTTTTTTACCACATACACAACAACAAGTTCTGAGGAAGGGTCACCAGACCCGAAACGTTAACTCTGCTTTCTCCTTCACAGATGCTGCCAGACCTGCTGAGCTTTTCCAGCTACTTTGTTTTTGTTCCTGGGTTTGTTACCATATAGCCTGCCATTACACACTACCTGTTGTTAGTCACTAACAGTTCCCATTTACAACTATTCACCCTCCCAGCCTGATCGTTAGCAACTCTTTGTCTGTCCAACTGTCTATCCTCTCTCTTTGGGCTCTATCCTATCATTTACTGCCTACCCCACCCACCTCCCTATTTTCTGCATATAAACTGACATTTTCCCAGCCACCATCAGTTCTGAGGAAGGGTCACCGGGCCCAAAACATTAACTCTGCTTTTTCCTTCACAGATTCTGCCAGACCTGCTGAGCTTTTCCAGCAATTTAGTTTTTGTTAGAAAACACAAGGCCTGCTGGAATTCTCCTGGTCCAGTGGAGCTGGTTTTGGAACAAAAACAGAAGTTGCTGGAAAAGCTCAGTAGGTCTGGCAGCATCTGTGAAGCAAAATATCAGAGTTAATGTTTTGGGTCCAGTGACCCTTCCTCAGATCTCTGGTGTTGGAGGTAGGGAAAGTGGAATTAGGAAATGGAGCTTTTTTTTTCCCTTTATTCATTCATGGGATGAGGGTGTTGCTGGCTAGGCAGCATTTATTGCCCAGAGGGCAGTTAGGAGTCAACCACATTGCTGTGGGTCTGGAGTCACATGTTGGCCAGACCAGGTAAGGGTGACACTTTCCTTCCCTAAAGGACATGAGTGAATGTGCAATCATCATTAGATTCTTAATTATAGATATATTTTATTGAATTCAAATTCCACTATCTGCCATGGCAGGATTTGAACCTGGGTCCCAGGAATGTTATCTGGGTCTCTGGATTAACAGTCCAGTGATAATACCACTAGGCCATTGCCTCCCCTGGTTCTGGAGGTAGGGAAAGGTGAATTTAGGAAATGAAAGTGTTGGGCAGGCTTCCCAATGTGTTTTGCTTTCTCGCACGGTTCCTGGAGGTGGTGACACAGCAGCAAAGGAAAATTGCAGCATTGAGCATTCCCCAGAGTTAGGCAGGACCTGTTCAGAGATGTTATTAAACATCTCTGGAGCAGGTGGAACTTTGAACCTGGGCCTCCTGGCTTTGAGGTAAAGACACTACCTATGTACCAGTGGTGGGCAGATCATTAAGTCAATTAGTGAGGGCCTTAGTGGCTGTTAACAGAGTGGAATACAGTTCTGTAAGAGTCATGCAGCCCCCTGGCTGTGTTTTCACTTGGAGTTTGTGGACGAGGCTGCACAATAGGAGGCAACATTACTGATGAATGAGGTTTAACATTTTTGGGAACAGTCAATCCGAACATGATTCTATTTGAAGTTACTCTCTAATAACTGCTTTTGTTTGCATTGTAAACATTAGTTTAGGCTGTCTGTCTATTTGAAAATGATAATGTGACGAGTTACAAGCTACATTTCAAAAGCCCCTCTCCTTTTTTGCCTCTGACACTGTTTCAGCACATGTGCAGGGCATAATCATCTCCCCTTGTTATGGTGTAAATAAACAGCTTGAAATAGACACAAAAACGTCTGGAAAAGCTCAACAGGCCATCTGTGCAGAAACAGAGTCAATCATTTTGGTTGGTGACTGTGTGATCTTAAAGAGGTGACTAATTAACAATCCACTTCCACATTCAGGCCATTGACCTGAGACGTTAACTCTGTTTCTCTTCGCAGACGCTCCCTGACCTACTGAGGTTCGCCAGTTTAGTTTTCTTTTTGTTATTATTTCAGATTTCCAGCATCTGCAGAGCTTTGCTTTTGTGGTAGCCTTCAATGATACCGGCAAATAAAAAAGATGCTGGGAGTGCTGCCTTCACCTGATGGGTGTGGAGATTGTGAAGATGGATGTTCACAACCGTCTCGGATTTCCTAAGGTCCCTGCTGCCTGCCTCAGCAGCATTCCCTCTGGTCACACAGTAGCTACTGCCAGTGGGTTACACTGCCCTGAACTCCTGACTTCCAAACCCGGTTGTGGTTCCCAACTGGATGGCAAACGTAGAGGTGCCCCTTCAATTAGCTGCCTCCTTTATGATTGTTTGAGAAGGTGTACTGTTGACATGGGTAGGATCATGGAAATGAACTCAATGCAAGTCATGAAGATTCCAGTCAAATAAATAAGGGGAACACAAGCAGGAAACAGTCACATGTGGAAAGATGCACTTTATTACCTTGTCTTTCAGAAAGTCATGGGAAAATCAACTAATGTAAATTCAATTTCTTTTGAATGGCTTTTGGTCTAGTTTTGAATCAATCTAGATAAGACTGGTGTACTTTCCCAATTGAATATTTGTTTCAGTAATAATGAGGACATTTAACTGATCTTCTCAAAATTCTGACCTATTCTCCATTGGAAATTAGCAATAATTGACGTCTTGAATAATGTGCTTTAATCACTTTTTTTAAGAGTTGTTTTCTATGATTTTCATTTGAGATCGAAAACTTATTAAAATCACTGTAGAACTTCTCACTTGTGTGAGATGTCTATTTCTGTTAGGTGCCTATTTTTTACAGCAATTTCTAACCTAAAATGAAGGCGCTCCACTGACGTTGTTGAAAAGAAAATGTTTTTAACCCTACAACTGGTACAATTTGTCCAGAAGGAATTAATAGTGCTGTAAAATAAAATGAAATTGCTGGAAAAACTCAGAAGGTCAGGCAGCATCTGTGGAGAGAAAGCACAGTTAATGTTTCGAGTCCAGTGACCCTTCAGAACAGATAGCAGCTGAGAAAAGGTGGTATATATGCTGAAGACAGGGAGTTTTGGGGTGGGGGGATGGTGAAGGAGTGAGGAGAGGTGAGTGGAAACGTGGAGATGAGCCCAGAGAGAGAGAGACAAAGGTAATGAAAGGGGTAGGCAGATAAGGAGATCATTGATAGTAATCCAGGACAAAAAATTTGATTTGATTTATTATTGTCATATTTTGTGAGATAAAGTGAAAAGTATTGTTTTGCATGCTAACCAAACAAATCAAATCTTACATAAGTACATCAGGGTAATAGAACAGAATGCAGAATATAGTGTTACAGCTCCAGAGAAGGAGCAGAGGCAGATCAACTGTAATATATGAGAGATCCATTCATAAGTCTGAGAACAGCGGGGAAGAAGCTGTTCTTAAATTGTTGGTATGTGTTTTCAAACCTTTGTATCTCTGCCCGATGGAAGAGGATGGAAAAGAGTATAAAGAGTAAAATAAAGGAGGGTTCTTGAATTACATTGGTTGCTTTCCCAAGGCAGTGGGAAATATAGATGGAGTCAATGGAAGGAGGGCTGGTACAATGGCAACTTTTAAAAGGCATCTGGATGGATATATGAATAGGAAGGGTTTAGAGAGTTATGAGCTAAATGCTGGCAAATGGGACTAGATTAATTTGGGATATCTGGTCAGCATGAACAAGTTGGACCAAAGGGTCTGTTTCCGTGCTGTACATCTCTTTGACTCTAAATACTACATTTTCCTCGCTATTATCAGTTCTGATGAACAGAATGGAAATGTTAACTCTGCTTTCTCTTCACAGATGCTGCTAGACCTGCTGAGTTTTTCCACCAATTTCTGTTCTTGTTTAAGACCTGCAGCATCCACAGTTCTTTGTTTTTATGATGTTAATATTGCTGTGTTTGACTAAAAGGTGCTTCTATCTTTCACCCCCTTACTCAGATACAATAAAAGGCAAGTTGATTTGAACAGAAACTTTCCTGATGTCTTTGAAAATAACACGTTACTATTTGAACCAGAAACCAGAGCAGCAATGGACTGGATTGAAGATAAGACTTCACAATTTGAACCAGAAACCAAAGCAGTAATGGGCTGGATAATGAATGAAACTTTTGTTCTATCTATAAGTTTGCATGGTGGGGCTCTTGTAGCCAGCTATCCATATGACAACAAACAACCAGGTAAGAGATAGTAAGAACTGCCGATGCTGGAGTCTGAGATAACAAGGTGTAGAGCTGGATGAGCACAGCAGGCCAAGCAACATCAGAGGAGCAGGAAAGCTGACGTTTCGGGTTGGGACCCTTCTTCAGAAATGGGGGAGGGGTTGGGGACTCTGAAATAAATAGAGAGGAGAGGTGGTGCTGGGAAAGGTAGGTGGGGAAAGGTGATAGTGAGTGCAGGTAGGCAATAGCTTCAAAATCTCCCCACCCCCTGACCTCATCCCATGACCAACCCTCCCGCTCATGCCCGCCTCCTTGATCTGTCTGCCTTCTCTCCCACCTATCCGCTCCTCCCACCTCACTGACCAATCCCCCCACTGCCTACCTGCACTCACTATCACCACCCCACCTACCTTCCCCAGCCCCACCCCACCTCTCTCTATTTATTTGAGCCCCCTATCCCTTCCCTATTTCTGAAGAAGGGTCCCGATCCGAAA